AACACAGCTCTAAATACCAACACAACGACTCAGTTCAAAGACACAACAAATTTTAATCTACCTTGTTACGAAAATACTCGGTCTATCTATAACGCAAAATCACACTTCCACCACATATTTCTCCGCTGCATTTTATTTTTACCCAATCAAATTCTGAAACTACCCTTCTAATGCTCAGGTTATTGCAAAAGCGAAGCATCTGCCAGAATTCCGTAGAGGAAAAATCCTAGCAAAAAGGGTGCAGGAATTGTCGAGATGTCAGTTCGCGCTGAATTTGGTCGGGGTCATCCCATAACGTACAATTTCGCCATGGGTTATGATATTTCAAGAAACGGATCCCTAGCTGGCCGAGATAAGCGCCAAATCGTAAGAAAATAATCCAACTTTATCAAGCCGGGTACGGAACTCAGAACTTCTTCAGAAGTCAATGTCTCAATGGACGCACTTTGAAGGCACGAGTCAGGATTGAGTTGATGTGTTATTTTGTTCGAACATTAGACAAGGGGTGAAATGAGAAACACTAGTTAGGAGAGAAAGCAAAAATCACCATGGAAAACACTAAATTTCCCTTAGGAGGCCGGCCGTAGAATGACGGAAAGACATAGCGCTGCTAGGAGAGAGAACACGCGAGATAGTACGTCATGCGCGAGAGGACGCAGAGGCCACGTATGCAGTGATGTATTACGCTGGTAGCGCGGGCAGCGCGGCGAGCAAGGCCTTAGCACCATTGCCGCGCACTTTTGGGTCGCAATACTGTCGCGTCCTTAGTGCTTGGGGAGTCCACTATTGCACCCTGGGAAGAACTTCTGCTAATCCTGACTATCTTTAATGTGTTTCCCAGAACGCTAATGATAGTCCACCTTCGAAAAATAAGAAATGCACTTTTTGCAAGAAGAAAATTTAAAAAAAACGAGACATTCTTGTGAAATGAATTCAGAAAGGAAAACGAGCCATTCAAGTTAACAAGGGTCATGAAAAGGTGACGTTAACTGGCGCCAGATGGCGCCACCGCTAAAAATGAATGTTGTTTTGGTAATCAGGATATCGAGTCACCCTAATCAGTAGTAGTACAGTAGTCCCGAGTACAGTAGTCTCTAGATGTACGCAAGCACACTGCACCAGCGGAGTTGTTTTTATGTGATATCGGCGCGGGCTCATCTACCGGAAATTAGGGTAAAAATGACCCTCTCTTAACGCCAAACTCTCTTTCTCTCCCTCTCTCACATAAAGCGGCTAGAGTCAGACGGCGAGGAGTCGTATTTATGGTTGATTGTACAGCGGCACGAGCCTCGTGGGTATGGATCTGGTAGGCCGCTCATGGCATACACATCCGAGTGGTTACGAATGTAGACTCCTGTCTGACCTTTAGAAAACCGCGAGTTCGATACCTGCCGAGGCTTAAGCAAATCGCGGGATTAGCCCGACCTGTGAGAAGGATACCACGAAGGAAATTGTAAGATCTCTACCTACCTAGATCGCTCCAGCGATGCCGCAAAAGTTGCACGGTTAAGGCGCCAATCCTTACGGGCCTGCGGCCCCGTTCCATTCTCGTTTCCCATCCACCTCGATATTGGTGTGCTCTCTCGAACGGCGCGACCTCTTGCGTGCTTTGTCTTCTTTGACCACCCTGCCTCGCCACCACCTACGACCTTTTTGAGGGTGAAGGCCTTAAAGCAATCCTCCACGGAAAAAGCTCCACCTTCATTACCACAAAAAACGATACCTTACACCTACCTTACAGGAATCTCACACGGAAAGAGTGGTCATTCTGTCTTGTGTGTAGGATTAGTATTATCGAAACTAACACTTATGCTTCATTCTTTTTGCTGTGCTCATGAGTCGCCTAAGGGGTATCGTTTTTCAAGGGTAATGGAGGCGGAGCTTTTTCCGCGTAAGATTCCTTTGATTTTAGCGATCCCGAAGACTTCTCTAGCTTTTCTTTCCTTTTTCAGACCACCCCGCAATCATCACTGCGAAGCGCTTTCATCACCAATTTTCTCCCGGGGCTTGCCTTTAAAACAACTCCCCACACAGATTGCAAAAATGGTTCCACTACCAGCGTCAGGCCATGTTGGCAGGCCAGCTGACGAAGATCTCCGTCTTAACACTTATGTCCGAGGTCGAAAAAGGATTCAGTGTGAAAGCTAGGACGTCACTTGGATGTAGCGCGCAGAACCTCCGCCCGACTTCTGCGATCAGTATGCGAGGGCTACGGGGGAGTAAACGGTCTCAGCCAAAGAAGCTAGTTCGAATTGGGGACATGAACGTAGGATCGTTGACTGGAAAGTCTCAAGAGGTTCCTGATTGGGTCACGCGCATGAACATGCAAGTCCTACGCCTCCAGGAGACACGGAGGAAAGGTGCTTGCCCAAGGAAATCGGAGAAGGTGTCAAACTCTACTGCAATGGAGTGACACCAGGAACAGTGTGGTCATAGCCGTGGGGGACTCAGGACCAGGGTCAACCGTCACGTTCAAACATTTTCGGGATTTTTGCAACCCCCTAGCTCTCGTGGGGGTCCACTTGCGGCCCCCTGTTTTTGTTGAAAAGAGCGCTAGACATGAATCCGCTGCGCCAGAAAGCGTCTGCATTGCACCGTCAGCCTTGGAGCGCGGCAGGTATCACCCGGCCGCTGAAAATACGGCCGGCGGCGAAGAAAAAAATTTAGAGGGGAATAACTTTCTTGAGACGCACTTTTTAGACTCGTTGAGGTAGATTTTGACTGTGCCTGAGGTGCGCTTTCAGAAAACTAGAAGGATTGCCTAACTCTCTGGAAAGTACTTCTGTTAGAAGTGAAAAACCCAAAATTCTAAGAAGGTGCACCTTCAACTTTGAAGGCCCGCAAAATGCTTCTTATGCGACATTCTGGAAATCCGTAAAAAGTTTCAGAAACTTCAAATCTTTCTCTAAAAAACAGTACTAAAAGTTTAGTGATTGTCCCCCTTTTCAAAAAATTGTCCCGTTCGAACATTTTTCGTGCAAAAGCGAGTTTTTGGGCTTTAAGCGGGCATAACTCACTTTATTTTCATTTCTGTGATGCACTTTTTTCATGGGGTGAAAGTGCAAGGTTTGCCCTTTCTGAGAAGCTCCTAACTGTCTTTCAAAATCCATTTCCCGAGAAAATCACACGTTCGAACATTTTGTCCTCATAGGTTTTAGCAGCACATGCGAGTTTTTGAGCTTTCAGCAACAATAAATTCCTTCAAAGAACTTGTTGGGGAGGGGCGAAGACATTTTTGAAGACTACGAGAATTCTGCTTTCTTATGTGTTCTACAGTTGTCTGGAAGAATAGTCCTCAGAAAATCAGGTCCCGAAGAACTTTAATTTCAGACCCGAGAAGTCAAACCTTTCACAGAGATGCATTCAACTGTTCTCTATTCCTCAAGGAAAACACCGTAATTTGCCTGAAACTGTCTCTCTGTGCATAATAAATCGAATCTAATGCGGTCTGCACAAACAATTCTTGCACTCGGATACGCCACGCACGCGCCTGTGGCTGGCTGTCCTCGAAATTGCGACCCTATTCCGACCAAAATGCGACCCCTTCGTTCGAACAGTTCGAACGGACGGTTGACCCTGCTCAGGACTCTGTCTCCGCTGTGAGCAGGATCAGCGATCAGATTATGTCTGTGAGGAGAGACGCGAAGGAGGGGTACTGCACCATACTCTGTGTGAATGCACCGCAAGCCTATCTGGCAGCCAACGGTAGTATGGATAAGGCGGTGGAGGATCGGGCCAGCGGTGCTTGGATGATCCATGGAGGGAGTCCATTGAAATCCTTTGAGATTGAAGATGCTCCAGAGCGCTCAAAAAGTGTGTACAGGACAGTGGTAAGGCTTGCGATGCTCTACGGCAGCGAGTGCTGGGCTTTGAACAAGAATCACAAAGGGCAGCTTTACTCTGCCGAAATGATGATGCTGAGATGGGCTGGTGGCTGGACGAAGCTGGACTAGTTTAGAAGCAAGGATGTCAGAGCGGTCATGCAACTGCCCCTGTCCAGCTGAAACTACGGAAACATCCTTTGCGATGGTACGGGCATGTGCTAAGGAGGCCGCAGGACCATTTGATAAGAAGAGTGATGGACTTCAAAGTGCAAGGCAAAAGACTCTCGCGTGTTTTGACTTCTGTAACCGCCCTGCCTCGCCAAGGGCCTTAATTTCAGCGATCCCAAAGATTTCTCTAGCTTCCCTTTCCACTTTGCGGCCGTCCCGCTCAGTCATCATACGAAGCGCCCCTATCACCAGTTTTATTCCGGGGCTTGCCTGTAACCCTTTCGCCACTATGCGAATTTGCACGCAACGGGCTCGTGGGACCACGCCTTTTTCTGGCGCGCCCTACTCGCGGAAAACACAAGCAGACAGTAACAACAAAAAAAACGGATCAGATATGAGATGGTTGATAAATAATGTTACAGCACCTATAACAAAATACACGCAGAAATGGACATAATCAACAGCTTAGACGTCCAATGCTTTCCAAAAGCCGCTGCGTAGTTCTGGAAAGAGAGTTAGAAGGTTGGAAAGTCAATTCTTATTCCAATGGATGAAGGGTTATGTTTATGTAAACGATAGAATTTTTGATGAAATTCAGGCCCCTTCCAGTGTCTGAAGACCATGAAAATACAAAGAAGTCTTGATCAGTAGCTAATCCTCAGCCTTATGATGAAAAACACCAATTAATGCGCCGGCGAGCTAAATGCTACATTCAAAAATTTCATAGAAAATAACTCTTACTGGACATTTCTGTAAACCATGTTAGGCATAAATATCGTGAAGGTTGCTTGTGGTAACTGGTTACGATTATTTTGAATGCGCAGTGAAGAGAATTTCAAGGTGGCATCCACCGGTGAGTGCCATTGTAGCAAAAAGGTTAATCACCATCTTTGTTTATAATGCCCAAGGTTGTTTATGGAAAATGCTTAGTAGCTCTCTATCACGACAACTCGCAGATGAGGATTCGACCTGCGATCATTCTGCAATAGAATAGTGTCAACCTTTCAGTATCAACAATAGGATTTGGCGATTTGGTGCCTCTCCAGCAAGGATCAGCCCTTCAACTTCAACCCTTTTATGTCATCTTCACATTGCTCTTCGTCCTTCTGGGACTAGCAGTCTTTTCGGCATGTGTGAATTTACTGGTATTAGGGTAAGTCAGACTAATACATCAGATCCCGTTATTTCCATAGAAGTTTCTCAACCTCTGAAGTCGCCATTTGAATGAAACTTGCCTTGAAACTATAGATATTGTTTATTTGAAGGTTCATGGCTCCAAACGCTGATGTAGTGACGGCAGCGATTAGAGAACCACAAAGCACCATTGTATTCGAACGATTTGCAAGGTCAGGAATCCTTCTTTTTGTTTTGCTTCTTAGGGTGAGAAATCATCCTACTAGTTTTATCGTTATCTTTGGGAAAGGATGTCCTGGAATCTCAGATTTCGAACTTTGATACAATGCCGGCGATGTGTGGTTGCATGTGTGACTCATGAATGGTCAACCTAATAGGCTGAGTCATAAGTAAATGCCGATTTGACAAAATTTCAGAAGTTTACAACTTTCTTTTGGACCACCTTGGTTGAGTTCCCTATTTACAACTATCTACAAGTGTACTCTATCTATCCGCAAGTGACTGAATACCTTTCCCACAAAATTACGCAACCTTCGACGTCAAGAATCCGTGGATGTCTGTTTTGAGGTTGTCGCCAGCACCGTAATTTTTCTGGGTAATGAAACGTGCAACAAGCAAAGCAATTGATGATTGATTGCTATACCTTAGTGTTCTTTATGAGTTTCTATAAGTTTCTTCTTAGTATTCTTTCATTCTATTACTATGTATATGTGGGTTGTGAGCTGCCGCGCAGTGGAACAAGTTCATGTCATGAGAGGCTTAACTTTGCGATATCCAAGCAAGTTATCCGGCTGTATGTAGTACGTGCCTGCGCCGGCAGTGGTGGTATTTTTTAAAGTCTATGATGAAACAATCCTATTTGGATAGAAAGTTCTGCAACACTCTCTCTAAAATTTTCTTTCTTTCTGAAGAATTCATAGATAACATTTATGACTAGCAAACGGTAGAGTATTCTCGGGGCTTTAATCCACAAGGTGGATATAAGTGCTGCAATCGGTAGTTATCCAAGAAAATTCAAAAAATCTCGACCGCTAGCAAAACCATACTCCGGGTTGCCGTCTCGTACAAATGTCTTTAGAAATATGGATTGGTGTCAAAGACCAACTATCTGCAATAGCTTCAATAGGCATGTAGTTCACTGCTACAGCGTGTTTCACCTTTACCTGCGCTTTTGTTCTTTTGATGTTCTTATATGGAGCCAGCAGCGTTCCGCACACCCCATTATAGGTAGGGCTCTTACGGAAGCCCCACTGCGAATTCTTCGTTGTGGGCACCATTGTGCAGCTAGTGGTCTTCTGGCACCATTGTGCAGCTAGTGGTCTAGGCTGCGGAACTCCAGAAGCTGACCGAAGCAGCTCGTCAGGAGCTCTCGTACCGCGGCAATACTTATTTCTTTCATGACATTGCGAATCATCATGATCCGAAATGAGCCCGGTAAGAAATTCTGGGGCTGCGGCAAGATTTTTCACCTCTCTTAGCGTATACCCCTGGTAGCTATACATGGCTGCCACCTATCCTGGTCCTCATCGCCAGATCATCATCTTGATGACGAACTAATTTGACGATCAACTCCAACCCAAAAGTGGGATCGCCTCCTTTCTCGGCCCGCATATTCCGAATGAAGTGCACCTGTTCGGGCTAGTTGTCGCTGCTGAGTTGCACGTTCTCACTGATGCCTCCGTAGGTTGCTTGGATAGACTGCACACCCTCAACCCAGTGACCACTTGCAAAGCCGACCGAAACAACGGGTTTCATGCAGCAAACCTGGTGGGTTGATCACACGTGTCCTTCAAGCAACCTCGTCCAACTCGTGAGATTTCCATCTTCCCAACGTATACACTTTCTCCGTGGCTCAGAAGGAACGACACATGATGCGGGAAGACTGAAGGTCTACTGGAGTGTGACGGGCTGTTACCTGCCTCTTGCATGCGTTTAATATCTACGGCCACTAGGTGTTCAAAACATGGTCGACCTTCAGGGTTATAGTCGCTAGCGAAGCTTTCCAAATCAATTTCAATAGAGATTTTTATTCAGGAAGTCTGGTCCTCCAGACACATAAATATTATGACAGGCTCCTCTTGCTGAGTGCCCCAGGCGGAACTCGTAAAATAGACAGTGAGTACATGTTCAGAAGAGGACGGCATTATTCCACCCGAAGAGGGGTACTGACGGTCAAATTTCGTATGAAATGGCAATTGGGTCGTCACGTACTGCTCTGCGGGGAACAACAAAAACGTTTTCTGAGAAAAATGGCGTGGGTCTGAAGATATCGGCGATTACTTATGACTGAGCAAATATTTTATCGAACGCCGCCCAGATTGAGCGTTTGCCCGTTCATGAAGTGAAGCCTGAGTGCAGGCGTCATGTGTCAAAATAACGCACTGCGGGCCCGCCAAGTTTGTAACCATCGACGTGGTCCGGTCGAACGGAACCACTTTTCCACAATCGTTTGCCCTCTTTCCCCTAACTGTTGTCACGACTGATAGTGACCATGGTACTCGATGTTATGTTTGGGTCTCGCTTTACACTTTACTTGATTTTACTTCATCTATTGGGCCGTGTCCCGCAAATTCTGACGCGTACATTGACACATAGACGTCAGAAGGGTCGTCGCAAAACAAGTCCCCGCCTGTGCGGCGAGGTGGACATTACCAACGAAGGGCGAAACTGGCCTGCCGAATGCGGTTTTAGAATAAAGCTGCATTTGATAGGCCAGTTCAGAAGTTAGTGTAATGTGTGTCGCTTTCCTCAGACCCGCCTGTGGAGTGACTTCACTCAACCTCTCACGCTGAATGCAAACCTCTTCCTAATATTTCCGTATAAGAAAAATATTGACATATACAAACTTCGGTAATACGACAAATACCACAAAAGCAAACACAGAAACAGTAGACAGTTACATCCCAAAAACCTGTATTGATTATTGGTTACGCATTCTGACATTTTCTTGTCCCACAAAATTGTCAAAATTCCATAACAAACAACCCTCTATCCCGAGACTGTAGTCTTCACAACTTTCTCGACTCCCTGCTAACTAATTGTAAGTATAAACTCGTCAACCTCAAACACGAATCGCAAATAGGATTCCCCGTCTAGCACGGCTAGACGCGCAGCTGGTTCTGGCCCCATCCACGATAAGATCAGTGGAGTGATTGTGGAATAGCAACTTCTAATTCAAGTTTTTGTTTGTCATTGTTGAATAAATTTGGTAAACTTTTCTTTTCAAAGGACTAAGCTTCTTGGACCCTGATATTTTGTGCTGCCGTGGCTCATAATTAAGTAGATACTTTGTGAATTCGTGGGATAGAAAGAGCGCGAAATTAGGCTCATTTAACCCTTGGACTACGAATTTTTTAGAATCGAGTTATTAATGTGTTCTGCGTTGCAGTTATCCCTCCCAGCAACAGGCAACCAGCTATAGAAAGTTGGCTGATGTACGTTGGGTGTGATGGGATTTGATCTAGGGACCATGCGCGCGATAGCGGCCCGTCTTGTCATAGCACCATTTCCGCTCGGATGATTTTTTTTGTTCAATAAATTGGCAATTCTACAAACACACATTTTTTTACAATATTAAAGTCTTCAGTGACCCGAAAACTTTTACAAAAAAAGTTTGAAAAGGTCAACATTATATGGTCTATGAGTGGTACGGAGTCAAACATGATATACACAAGGGCACGTTGCAAGCAGCACACATTATTTTTGCACGAGTTTCTTTCTTCGACATCGCGCAGTATCTACATGGCCGACGCGATTTTACCCGGCCCCCAACGTTGATCCTCCCGAAATTTTTTGGTGGCCTCCCCATGCCGGGCTTGCGCCTGTTAGCCGTCCTTCCCCTCCCCTGCGCAATCATTTGCTGAGCAAGAGGAACAAGGAATTTGATCAGCTTCGTTTTCTCGTAATGGATTTCCTAATACTATATTATCCATGCATTTACAACCGCCACCTGTAGTATTTTATGGTACACCTTACCAACATTTTCTGGAACGTATATTGAAGTCGTAAAGTGCACATTTCTGATCAGACAGATCTACTCCGCCCATTATGCTGCTGTAGAAGGAGACAGCTTCAGGGCATTCAACTTCTTTTCGCGATCCATCCTTCATTGTGCGCAACACATACGTTGTAGTCAGCGTGATAATTGCTGACTACCAGGACCTCCTTACAGTCTTTCCAACGGGCACACAGCGTACCAGCTCCATTTACCGCAAACTCAAAGCTGCCACGTTCGTCAAGCTTTTCTGAAAACTTGGGAACATAGCAGGAATTAGAAGGCTTCTATATGTGCAGAGTTCAGCCATCAAATGAGCCCTCCTGCCTCAATATTCCTTGGAACTGTGGTAGTGTCTTTGACTACAAAGTGGGACACATGTGTCCCACCAGTAGTTAAAGGGTTAAATAAGAAATTCAGACTACAAACAACTTCAAATCTGTTCAAATTCCAGACACATTCTAAGGATATAGCTTGAACTCATGTTTTCCAGGGGAAATTATAGGCGTACGTGATATATCATGACAGTAAAAATCAGCACTTCATTCAGGCGGAAATGTCAGGAAGAGGTCAGCAGTTAGAGCAAGCAATTAGTGGGGTTCCCATAGACAGGTCTAAGGACGAGGCACATTATGGTACGGTGATCCCTTATTTGCTCACCATATACAGCTGTGTACTGAATTCGCTAACCAACAAAGTGCTTAACCAACAATAAGAGAAGCAACACGACTGCGAAGCATATCATAACGATAACATATAACATGTAACAGGCTTTAAAAAACCGCGTTATCTGTTTTTTGCTAATTTCTCTCCCGTGTCCATGCAAGGCTCTTGCGGAAAAGTAGGGCATTGTGTGGTCGATTAATGAGCGACTTTGTTAGATCTGGGTCACTGGTCGACTCTCAGCTGTTTGGTATGAGAAGATTGAGCCGAGGAGAACCAATATCACTTCTGGGAATTGCGCGAACACCAAGAGCGGTTTGTTGACATATCGAGCCTTCTTTCATTTCGGTGTTTCTGTACGACATGTATGAATTTTTTAGTCATCCACTCTCGAAAACAACGCATTGAAAAAGGAAGTGAAGTAAGTTCTAGTTTGATTTAATTGGACAATTCTTCCCAAACTTATCCGATTCCGAATGGACTATATGTTAGGTTGGCCAGATTGAAATGTCGTTTCCGATCATCAATTTATTTTAATTATAAAAACAATAATGAAGCACATTGACCTGAACCATCTCCTTCACCAATG